GGCCCAAACAAAAAAGAACGACTCAGTTGCCTCTGGTATGGGTACTTGAAACTCTGAATCTTTGAAAGAGGAAGTAACCCATCAGTTAAACTGTACTCCATCAGTGCAACTGGACAGAAGCAGAAAATACAAAAAATCCCCAAACTTGATTAAGAGGAGAGCAACTTATGCATACGAAACAATCTATATTTTACTTGCAATAGATAGAGAAATGAGAGCAACTAGCAATTCTGCATTTCTGAACCTGTAGGAGTGTCGCAGAGGGCTTGATGATGTCCCATTTATGTTTGGCCGGTGTCTTGGATTTGAGCGCCACAACCGCTTGAGGGCTGGATAAGGAAGCTAGAGTAAAGGGATCTTGAATTCACCTAATTGACGCCGAAGAGGGTTCAAAGGATGGACCCTATCCTCCTGAGCTTCCGTGTCATCTTCAAAATCATCCCCGTCAATGCGCCCCGTGTTGAAAGTCAGGTTGAGCTTCGGGCTATGAGCCAAGCCAACAACAGACAGAATAGTAACTCCACGTGCGATTGGATACTTGCATATCTAGAAGTAAAGACATCTAGGTCTACTTGTTCAAGGGGGAGGAGGCGATGGAGTAGGGGTAGAGCAATCTAATAAATCCTCTACTGTGTGCGCTCATACAACTTATCCTACGACGGTGCAAGCTTCAGGGTTCGTGTGAGTCGACTAGTCTGATGATAGCTCCAAGATCCAGGTTGAGGCATGAGTGGTGAAGTCAACTACCAAGGTTCTGAGGTACTGCTAGCACGAATCATAAAGCAAACTAGATGGTGGGAGATAGTGTATGTGTGTGTGTGCGCCCATCCACACAATTGTGGATACGGGAAGGGGAAGTGCCTCCCACTAATAGGGAGGTAGGTAGGGGGAATTAGTGGACGTCAGCACCGAAGTGGCTGCCAGCGGATATGGAGGAATGAAGGAGGTTCCTCTCGTACTGCAATCCCCATACTTTGACTTACATCTGATGGCAGTGTCTAACTGCTCCATCTGTCCCTGAATAAATCAATTCCTAGAGTTGTCTGAAGTCCAACTTTTTTTAGTTTGACCGAATTTAAAGTGAGGAGCTTCAAGATTTAAGACACCAAATTAGTATCATTAGATACACTATAAATGATATTTTCGTAATATGTTTATTTGGTGTTGCAAATATTTGTACCTTTTTCTATAAACTCGAACAATTTAAAAAAAAAATTATGACAACTCTAAAAATTGATTTATTCAGATATAGAAGGAGGAAGGGAATAGTGAATTATGCCGTTGTGGACAAGCACGAGGAGGATGTTCTAGCACTCTCGAGCAATTTGGACACATTGGTGAATCATGTAGGTTGGAGGCATTTTATTTGAACTTTTCCATCAATGCTGCCCAGACCACGCTATGAATAAAACATGCTTGCAAATTGCAGATGCATATGAAATTATGAATTAGATGGAACGTCCATGTTGACATTACATGGGCTCCGGGCGCCTGAAAATGATACGAGCAAATCAATTGCGGAGAAAAAGAAGATGAACTCGAGAGGGAAATGCTATGGGAAGTAGTAAGACGAAAAGATCCTGTTTGATTTGATATGACCGGCGAGCTGCTGCTTGTGATGGCATTTGTTAAGCCGATTGACGTGGTCATGCTATCGCCCAGCCGAGGTGCATCTGGTGAGCAGCCTGGAACTGGATGGTTGAACCGCTCTAATGATTTGATGAGTAATCTTTGTTTATTATATTGTAATGTAATGCTGAGCACTACGTGACGGAAACAAAAGTGAAATTTACTATGTACCTGGCCCACGGAAGTAATGCCTTTGCATTAGCACGATGTGTTTCCGGTGCAGTGCAGATCGTGGAGTTCACCGGAAGTTAGGTTCGCAAACGTCAGTGTGGTTGTTGAGGAGGTTCAGTGCCTGGGCCATGGCCATGCATGGTAGGCACCCAGGGTAGAGCAGCCGTCAGTAGTGCATATCATGTGGCAAATGTAAATATCAAAACCAAACAAAGTGAATCCATATCAAAACCAAACAAAGCGAATCCATGTCATGCTTGGCTTTCATATACGCTGCGTAGGCGTGTAGCCATTGTTCAGAAATCAGAAGCAAACAGGAAGCCACAAGAGTCGCTTTCGGTGGAAGTTGACATTTCGTCATTTGCCGGTTCAAGACATGGGCCACTCGACAGATCCCGTCCCGTGTGGTCAGACGTCAAAGCCTGGCTCTGGCCGGGGATCCTTGTAGGAGTAACACCCAATTCCTTCAGTTCAGCATCATCCTGAATTAAAAGGTATCGCAAGGGGGAAGGGGGCAAAGAAGCCTGTCGCCTGCTGCATGCTGGGCTACCCGACCCGATGATGCCCATATCCTTGACGTGCTCCTCAGTGGAGTGATCCGCGCCCAATACTTTTCCTCGCCGACGACGGCACGCACAGCAACAAGTTCGCCGACGTCCGGCTGATCGCTGATCCGGGACCGAACCAACTCCATCAGAATCTCCTAAAGCTCGAGAACGCTTGTGTGAAGAAGTTGCAGAAATATCCATTAGAGATGCTGTTATGTATGCATTGGAACAGCTTGCACGCTACCGCTAGTTCAAATTAAACGCGAGCTCTCGCGATCCTGGCCTGGTGCGTGGCCTCCACCCAACCCAAAGGCCAAAGCTGGAGCGCTGGATCAGGTCGGCAATCGCGTATGGGAATCTTCGCCCTCTTCCCCCCTCCTACCGAGCCGAAACCATCGCCAAACAGCTGCTGCTACTGGATTAGTACCAAAAAAGTTATGACCCGGCAGCACGTTGCAAACATGCGAGCATGAAGTGCCGCCGGTCCGTCTGGTGGTTGGTCAACCTCCCTGGATGCCCAACACGCGCGGGGGCGACCGGATACAGGTTGGACGGACGCGTGCGTACACGACCGCACGAGCGCGCCGGCATCGCGGGGGGCAGGCCGCAGGCGGCCCAGCTGCCGAACCCGCGGAGGCGTTGCCGCCGAGCCGACCCCCCATCGGCCGGACGCGGACTCGGCACCGGTTTCCGCTTCGTGCCGTGGGGCGTCGCTGCCTGTGCCTGGAGGCTGGGGCCGGGTAGCCGACGACCCAGCTCGTCGTGTTCTGCCTGGGCTGCGTCAGTGCGACTGCGAACGCTACTTGGTCTGGGTTCGGCTCGGCCGCGGGGCCCGGCGTGTCAGGGGCGGTTAGCGGCGGTTGGGCGCCCCGCGGCCGCGGGCTCCTTTTTTATGGCGCCGCCCGCCTTGTGGAGATAGACCAACCGCCGCTTGGGCTCCTCCACCACGTCGTCTTCGCGGACGACTCCTCGTCCACCAGCGATAGGTACTGCGCCTCCCTCCTTCCCTTTCCTTGCTTCCCCACCACCTATTCGCCGAAACGTTGCAGCCGCGAAAAAAAAAAGGAAAAAATAAGAACTCGCTTGCTGTTCCGGTGTCTGCTCTGCAGAGTCTTGTGTTGATAATTTGGTGCGGCGCTTCTCGTCCGGCGGCGGCGACGGAGAGAGCGTGCTCGTGCTCGGCTGGTGTGCCGCTTACTTGCTCCAGGAGTTACACCGTTTCTTCTCGCTGTAGGCGTCCTCCTGGTCCTCAACAAGGGCCTTCGCTGCATATGTAAGTTTCTTCAAACAACTGTTGGTGGTTTTCTTGGCTACCTCCGCGCTCAGTTTCAGTTTCTTTTCTTCTCCCCGTAGCTTTTCAGTAACCTCGGTAGTGTGCAAGAGATGGTGTAAGTTCGCTTGGATTTCCCTATTTGCGATGGATTTTTTTTTTTAAGACATCACCGGAGGGCCTGAATGGATTTTCCATTGATTCCGGCGAGCCGGTGGATAGAGGGTGCCAAGGCATCTTCGACTTTTAGGCGGCAGCTCCAGAGGCGACATGCTTCTTTGGCAGTAGCAAGCAGCTCCAGAGGCGACATGGATTAAAAGGCGAGAACGACTAATTTTGATGCAGTTATATGCCTTCTGTTTATCTTACCGGATGACACTAATCGGTTGTTACTACACACAAACCGATACAAAGGCGTTCTGATTTTAGTATAGTAGGAGTATCAAGTTAGCAGAGTTGTTTCCCTTCTCGTTTTCACATTGTTCTGACCTAGAAGTTTAAGGATTATTACCCAATCCTCCTGCCTTTCCAACGATGCCTGTTTCTTGGTTCGTTGGGTTTCTCATTTCCTGAATTCCAAGCCAAGAAACCCTAAAGGACATGTTACTACAGCAGAATTTTGGAAGGTTGTTATTTCTTTGCAATCCCTTTGTTTAAGTCTGAGACATGAAGGAATTGGGAAAGTTGGTGTTGTCTATGTGTCCCTGTTCATGGCCACGGAGCTGGAGCTTTGCAAGAATGATTAGCTTGCCTTTTGGTTGAGGAGGGGGGGTCTACACCACTAATCTTTGCTGGCAAGCTAAGAAATATTGATACAGTCCTTTCTCCTTTTCGTAAAACCTGCACTTATTCAGTAGAATACTTTCCTCCTGTAAACAGAAAATTGTTTTTGTTCTTTCTTCACTGGGTACGCTTATATTGAGTTGTCAACTAATTTTGCTTGCTGTGTGAAAGGACATTGTTTGGTGCTCAACAGCATTGTTATTGAGTGCCTTGTTCTTTTCATCTGTTTGGTTGGTGTTTATTTATGTTCCAATCAACATGACATCTGGACAAATTTGGATTTTTGGGTGCTACAGGTCCATAGCTATACTAGTAATCACATGCCTATATTGCTCCTTTATGTGTTTCTGAAGCTTTAACCAATTCATCTTTGCCCTTTTGTACTTTAAAACCACCAGACTCATGTTATTACGTAAGATATTGCTTTCATGGAGCTTAAACATCAATTTATTTCGTTACATTGGGCCACCATCATGAAGACATATTAATCCACATGCACGATGCAGCATTGTCAGTAATGTGGTGGATAATGCATTTACAATTAACTTCCGTTACTTTTTTGTTCTTTCAGAGAAAAAGAATAAGCTGGCTCGAAGATAATGGCATCTCTTACTCCAGGGATACTATTAAAGGTTCTAAAAAATATTAACTCCGATGTGAAAGTATGTGGAGAATACCGGTCCATTCTTCTCCAAGTTATTAGCATAGTCCCTGCAATTACTGGTTCAGAACTCTGGCCGGACCATGGTTTCTTCATCAAAGTTTCAGATTCTTCACACTCAACGTATGTTTCCTTGTCTAAGGAGGACAACGAACTCATCTTGTCAAACAAACTACAACTTGGGCAGTTTATATATGTTGAGAAGGTCCAGTCAAGTATACCTGTTCCAGTTCTTGTTGGGGTCCGCCCAGTTCCGGGAAGGAACCCTTGCATTGGAAACCCAAAGGATTTGATGCAAATGTCAACTCCCTCTGGGGTTATGGAAGCACTGGATCATCAACGCAAGACTTCCAAGTCAGCTGATCTGTCTGAAAGTGAAAAGGAAAATTTGCAGAGAAAGGTAGTTATCAAAGAGCAGAAGACAGTCGTTGCTTCCCGTTACATGCTTGGGGTATCAAGCAACAACGGGAAAATTACCAATCTCAACTCAAGCATTGATAGTGACAAAAGTAATGGAGGAAGTACCATATCTGAATCAAATCAAAAGTCTGTTGCCCAGAAAGTCAGACAAGAGGCAAAACCTCAGGTATGCTGAAGCTCATAGCTTTAAATTAGAAGTCTCAGTTTTGAAGTTTCTTACCAACATTGATATTAAGTTGAAAAATCCTGTATAATATGATTTTTAAGAAGTAGCAGGGATATAATATGTGAGCTCTTATAAATTTAATATAAACAAAGCTTTGAAACAAAAAACTTCTCTTATCTTCCAAAAATAGTAAAAACCGATCCTTGATGATTACTTTCAGGAACGGCCAAATAATATATCTCCTAGTAATGCTAAGTTAGTTTCCACAAAGCAAGAAATTAGCAAGGACACACGCAAGAATAGTGGCACTTCACCTAGTCCAAATGGTTCTGCCGTAGTCAAGAAGCAAATGCCAAAGGAGAGCAAAAAGGAATCTGCTACTGAAAGAAGATCACCACCAAAGCTTTTTAGGAGTTCACCAACGGCAGCGAGGACTTCTCCAACAAAGCTTAGTCCACCAGCAAAGCAGAATGGAAACTCTGGTCCAGTTACTTCTGTATCTACTGTTAAAAGAAGAGTTACTGAAACTGTCTCTTGGGACTCCCTCCCAACAAGCCTAATCAAATCAGGAAAGGTATGCTTTATGTCGTTTTGGTAATTTTGTGCCTGTATCAAGTATGAGGTTCTCATGAGTTTAAAATTTAAAATGTGTTTTCTGTTTCCATAAATTTTGCTCACATGTGTATTGGAAGCCATTATTTCGAACCATTCAGTGTATATGCAGAAAGATATCTGCCTATAAGTTAAACTTTACTAGATTCTTTCTTTAAAAAAAAGCTTTACTAAATTTCTTTAAATCATTTTAATATTCATTTTATTTTGTGTGAATAGGCTGTTGTCCGGAGGAAGAATATTGCTCTTATTGTAGCAGCTGAGGCTCAAAGGGAGGCTGCTGCAGCTGCATATCTTGTAAAAGGCCTTGGGTAAGTAGGTCCATATCTCAGATAGTTTATATGTTATAGTAATTTTAGTCGCATAAGTTGGGAAAGACCGAAAGACGTTCCCTTGTTGTTTAGCAAATAGTACCAATTGGCAATAGTTTATTGTAACCTCAGCAGTGTAGATTCTAAAAATGGTCTTTAGTTTTTTATGTTTTTTTCTGAAGGCCTATATTTGTTAATTGCTTATTTGAGATGTTTGTATGATATATGTCTGAAGCGCCTTGCCACTGCAAATCAATGCTCTCTGAACAGAATAACCACACACACAATAGCATGAGCTTTGCATGGAATATGTTTTGCCTCTGATGCTGCAGTGCACCCCAGGATCTTGGTTCCTTATGCCACATGCTTTGCTCTTCCTTTTATGATGAGTCTTTTTTTAGGGAGCTACATTGTTTACTTTAGCTCATGAACTGGACGAATAAGTCTAATCTTGTACGTGCTTTTACAGAATTTTTGCTGAGATAAGGGAATCTTCTGAAGTGGATCCACATGCTGCAATCACCAAGTTTTTCCAGCTGCACAGACTTATCGTTCAGCAAAGTGCTGTCTGGAAAGCTTACTCACCTGAGCCTAGCAAAGAATCTCGACCAGAGAAGGAAAAGCCGTCGAGGAAAGCTTCTGCATCTCATCAGAACAAAGTTGGTAACACAGCTAAGAATCCCGAAGATGCTCAGGGAAGCGAAAAGACCGAATGGGCCCGTGAGGACGGTTTCAAGGAGATCTGCAGGTCATGGATTGCTCTGAAAAAAGAATCGCGGTCATGGTTTCTGAGCTTCCTGGAGGATGCACTTGAATCAGGGTTCATGTTCGAGAGCCAAACCAAGAACACCAGAGAACGCGTGCGGGGACAACCCAAGGGTGGCGGGGACGGGAGGATCGCGGTCCGGCTGTCGCAGCTCAAGGAGACGAGCAACTGGCTCGATCAGCTGCAGGACGTGGCGGCGGACAGTTCCGTGGACGGTTTGGCCGAAACCGTTGAGCAGCTGAAGCAGAAGGTGTACAAGTGCTTGCTTGGGACGGTCGAAACCGCGGCGTCAGCACTCGAAGGAAGGTAGAGGTAGCACACGAGGAGATGAAAATGATGATGTCAAGGGTGACGAAGAAGAGCGTTAAGTTATTGGGTGTTCAGTCCTGCAACATGACGTAGGGGTGAAGAACACGATGAGGAAAGATGTAAATAGTCGGGTTGCTGATGTTGAGTTATATAAATTATTTTTTTTGTCCGGGCATTTCCTGGTGTTGCGTGTGAAATGGTAATTGTTTTTCTTGGATCTTCAAATCGTGTGGTCAGTACAAATGATCTTGCGTGTGAAATGGTCGGGTTGCTGATTTTCCATCTGCATTTTGCTTGAAACCGGGGATTCCTATCCGCGTTGGTTTGGTTCCCGTCAGTTTAAGGCCAGTTGGTGGAATGCCAACTTCTGAAATTTTGTTGCTTGGGAAAATCTGAGAGACAGACAGACAGACAAGAAAGAGTTGGATTGTTGAGTTTGCAACAAGCTGGAAATTATAAACATAATCAATCAGCTAATATATCCACAGCATACTACTGGTACAGTGGATGAAAATTTGATAGAAGCATTTGGGTTTGGCAGCAAATCTGCCGATCCTGCGAGCCAAAGGCAACCGGTTTTTATGTAAGTTCTGTGTGCGCACGAATGAAGACGGCAGCCTGCAATCTATCGGTGGTGTGCGGCAGCAGGCCGTTACTGGGGCCCCTCCTCGAGCGAGAGGCACGTTTGCTTCTTGCCCAGCCCAGCCCTCCGCCAACAGCCCAACACGCGGGTTACTGTTACTAGTTGCTGAAATTTTATATTATTTTTTCCGTGTATCTTAACGACCTCAAATGTAGAAAGTGAAAACTATAAAGTTGTAGATCTAATTGAGAGCTACAACTTTGATATAAAAAATATCTTCATTTGACAACATACGAAAAATATATTATTTTTTCTAACGTGACAAGCACCGGTACACGATTATTATGGTCCTGAAATTTTATATTAATTTTTGAGTATCTTAACATCCTCAAATGAAAAAAACTCAAAACTATAAAGTTGTAGATCTCGTCGAGAGCTACAATTTTCATATAAATTTCATCTTCATCCGACGTCATATTAAAGAGTTATAATTTTTTAAAGTTTCAGTCTTGTCACGTCACTTCCGGTGGCACGACAAAATAATATTGTCACGCTAGCGGAAGTGACTTAACAAATGCATGTGTCGCGACAGCGTTATTTGATCACGCCAGCCCACTGGCGCGACCAAAAGTTAGATCTGTAAAAAAATAAAGCGATTATTATTAAAATATTGAATAAAAAAGATTAAAAAAAAATTCCCCCCGGGGACGCTGTTGTGGGCTTCAGGGGTCGAAGGCCTCTCTCCACCCGGCCGTCCGGGCCAGCAGAGAGCCCTGGGCTCACTACCTCTGTTGCATCGCGTGACAGCACGATAGCCCAGAGCAAAGTCCGTCCGTCCGTGACACGACCACACAAGCACAAACAGGAAAGAGCGCCGCAAAGCGTACGTGCGTGCCGGAAAATCCTAGAAATCTTCTGGGTCGCTCTGGCAAACGAAAGCCGGCCGCCGGTCAAGGTTGGACTCAACTCCGGTGTACTGCCACCGTCCGAGAGCAAATCTGTGTCCGGACCGTAGTCACCGGACGGAACCACCGCCGCAGTGTCGGATTCGTTCACCGTCCCAGGGCAAATCTTATCGAGAGCCTTTTGATTATTACTGAATATGAATACTCATCGATGACACGGAAACATCTGTAGTATATATCTCAGTCTCAGGCTGATGATATGATATCCATCCGGCATGCATGTGCGTGGATGGTCCGCCGCGGGTCGCTGCCGAGCAATTGCCGTGCGCGTGCCCCGAAGCCGGATTTGGCGACGACGACGAAGCATGCACGTCTACGGATGCGAATTTTTTTGCAAAATGCAACTGTAGTTTTTCGTTGTTATTTGATAATTAGTGTTCAATCATAGTTTAATTAGGCTTAAAAGATTCGTCTCGTGGATTTCGTCTAAACCGTATAATTAATTTTATTTTTTATTTATATTTAATGCTTCATACATGCGTCCAAAGATTCGATGTGACGAAAAATCTTAAAAAATTTTACAAAATGAAGTGGAACTAAACAGGGCCTACCTCTACCTGTCGCGTCTAGCTAGGATCCAGTAACGCATGCGCCATGCGGTCGGTGCGTGCATGATGGAATTAATGGAAGCGTACGCGCGATCGACTGGAAATTGGAAGGAGACAAAGCTTTGATTTGATCTGATCATCTGGCCGTCAGCTCACAGATCATCGTTCCGGTCTGCCTCGCACGTCAAGATGTCAACGAGGAATTCCCCGTCAGGGGACAACTTTCCATCCCCGTCCCCATGGGGCAAAACTTTCCCCATCCCTATCCCCGTGAATGCCAACGGGGAAGTTCCTCACCCATCCCCGTCCCCGTGCAGGGATTTTATCTCCGCGGGTCCCCGTCCCCGTCACAAAATCAAGCGAGACGGAGAAGACGGGGGATGGAGGATCTGGGGGAGCAGGCACGAAACGGAGAAGAGGGTGAGGTACCGCGAGATCCGGCCGGCCAGCTGAGCCGCCGTCGCTGACGGAGGGGAAGAGGCGATGCACCGCGTCCAGGGGCAGCCACCACTGAGCGCCGCCGCCGACAAAGAGGAAGAGGCGACGGGCGCTGTCAGGGCCAAGAACTGGGCGGAGCCGCAGGCGGAGAAGAGAGGAGCAGGGGCCAGTGGTTCAAGCCGACGCGCACGGGATTGAACATGGTGGGGCAGCCGCGTCGCTGGGCCACCCGCCCTCTCCCTTGCTAGAGCGGCCGCGTCGCCGGGGGCCGGCCGTTGCTCGACCGATGAGAGGTGGAGGGAGTGCGAGACTACGAGAGCGAGAGGGAGTGTGGCGGCAGGGAGACAGAGTTGGAGACCTAGGTTTTTCTATATATATGTGGCATTCTTACGTGGGCTTTGTTGGGCTGATGGGCCGAGGGAATGAGTTGGAGGCTGAGCAGGTGAGGAAGCGGGGGCGCGGGTTAACGGGGACGGGGGACAGGCTCCCAGACCCGCCCCCGCCAGAACCGACGGGGAATGATTTTCCCCTATTTAGTTCTCCGTGGGGATAAATTTAGTTCCATCCCTGTCCCCTGATAGGGGAATTCCCCGTGGGAAATCGGGGATCGGGTCCCCATTGACATCTCGACTCGCACGACTATTTCTTGCCTTTCGCCAAAAGAAAGGAATGGACGCGTTATTAGCGTTATTACGCAAAAACAAAGGGACGGTGGTCATACATACGTGAGACACCATAAATAATACATGATGTCATGATATACATGTACGTACGTACAAGCTAGTGCAAGTGTATACACTACTATAGTATATATATGTGTACGCTTCTGAACATATATAGCTGTAGCAGTACTTTGTACAGGCTCTGCATGGGCCTAATTAAATCGGTCAAGGTTATGGGCCCAGATCACGTCTTCTACTCTTTGAGCCCAACCATACTATACCATCTTTCTTCGTCTAGGTAGAATAGAGAAAACTTTATTTTCCTCAAAAAAAAGAAAGGTAGAATAGAAAACTGTAAAACTGTCATACCATGCATCTTCCTTCTTCTTTTTTTCCTTTTGAGGTGATGAGGTACCATGCATCATACAAACCATGCAAAAATAAGATGCCAAGTTTTATCACCAGCTAGCTGAGCAAGTGAGCATAATATATGCCATGCTCTGACCAGTCTCCAAATAAAGTCTTCCACACCAAGTCAATCAATCGCACAATATGGCAATGCAAGTTTATACATAATTAATATACAATGTAACGTACGTACAGTACGTACCAGTACCATGGATGATGTGCAACAATCATGGAGCATGCATACGGGCTTTGAAACTGTACAAGTGGCTTGCAACCGCCAAAACAATAATGTGCCTTTTGCAAACTACACCGGCCGCACACCTACATAGTAGATAGTACTGTGCATGCTGCAGACCGCTGAATCTTGGTCAAGGCTCGGAACCTACTAATAACCAAACCAGGCAACCACAGAGATATGATACGTTCTTGACCGCCTCAAACCCGAGATCAAAACCTTGTGCGTAACAGATCATGCATATAGCTGTTTCAGTACGGTGTGTTCTCTAGTTTCTTGCCAAAAAGGCAACCAGCTTATTATTCTAACATTCTCAAGCTAAATAAGGTCATCTAGACTGCAACTTCTGACGATGAATCTATCGGTCTCGGCTTGGACTACTACAGGAAAATAAAATATTCATATTCATAGCTGACTGGTCAACTCCATTCCGTATTTTATAGCTGTTGTTTATGCTTGTATGTTTGGCGCAAAGTTAATTGATCGATGGGCTACCAATTCGTTAATTGAGTGATTAGAGTCAGGTCTTCAGACAAAACCAAAACTGCTAGGAAATGTCGGAGAAAATATAAGCACAACGCGTAACATGCACCTAGTATTAGTCAGCTGCAAGTACTTTTACTTGATCCACGTCTTATTAGCCTATGTATATATGTATGTCTTTTGTGTTCCCTTTCTGCGCGCGGTCCAAGGGTCCAGTAGTACGTGTAGATCGATGGTCTCCAAGACTTCAAAGTTTTCTAGTACCACATTCATTCACGCACGTCATTATTCAATGTTCCGAAGGTGAAAAATCACAGGCTATAGGCTAACAGCTGCTAGCTAGATAAAATATTGTTACACATGGATGCATGCATTTTTCTAGCCTTTTGTACTCGGTTTTGTTGTCTCAGCTGAATGGATCTTGACGAATGACGAGCATGGACGCATATATATGCATGGAGAAGAATTCAGGGCTCTCTCTATGTTTTTTTCTTTGCAGGATGGGATGATGTAGAGGCACGCCTCGCAAACCAAACTAAAGAAGAAGATGAGTACTGATAGAGAAGAAATGTCGGCGAAATTGGCACCAAGCTTAATGGTAATTCACATAGAGGATTAAATAGCGCAAGCATGTGGCAAGCTGAGTCGACACTAGAGTTTGCCGCAAATTAGATTGTCTAATAACAGTTTTGTTAATGGAACAGTCAAAGGAGTCATGCAGGAGTGCGTATGCATGCACCATTTAGTTTATATCGAAATCAATGTATGCACACGCCCCCTCATCAGTTGAAATTCAATGGTCAATTTGAATTTCAACAAGAAGTACCATATATAGCTCCCCATTCGCTCTAGAACTCCTTTGAATACTCTGAATTATTCCCGCGAGTACTTGTTCATTTTCTGGCAACCCAAGAACTGTGACGATCATCTCTACGAATAAATAAAACAGATTCTAGCAACTTATTTCTCTACTATACGTGTGTGCCTACGTACGCATCTAGCTAACTCACTTCATGAGAAATTGAGAAGCAGGTAAGCAATGTAGTTCAAGTTTCGTGGTAAATGTTTGGAATCCGGAGTACAGTATTACAAAAACAATCATTAGTGTACCAAATATGCTCAATTAATCAGTATCTACAGTTTTTTATTTTGTAATCCCTAACTAATATCTGCAGTGCATGCAATCTATTTAGACCAATAGAACCGGACCATGTGTAGGACACAGATGCTGCTACGTATATATCAACATCAGCCATGTGGCCCAAGAAAACTATATGTGTATATGGTCTACGCAGAGGCCAAACCTCAAAAGATGTCTTGAAATCAGGTCTCTTCAGAGGAAGTTCAGATGTAATATACATTTAATAGTGTTGCTGATCAACCTACTTAATATTCTTTGTACTGTTAGTGATACTACCAGCTGGTGGTGGTGCCCCATGTTCAAGGTCAGCCCTAGAAAGTCTTGGTTTCTTCAGTTCATAAGCGCGCGTACGTACACACAGTGTACATGGATATAGACCAGCAATAATTCATCGATGATCAAATGATGAAGTGGGTACATGATAACTCGATGTCGTCCGTACATGATTTTTATAATCGAGGCTCGTACAAAATTGGAAGGTTTTCTTTTTCTTTTCTTTCCTTTTTGCGACGAATAAAAAAATGGGAGATTCATGACAGGGACTGTTTTGCTTTCCTTGTCTGAAAAAGTGTGAAAGCGCCAATGATATTTTATTTTCGGGGCCCAAAATATAAAAGGATCGAACTGTTTTCAAATAATTGGACCTCACTATATCACCACTAATTTGCAAATAGACTGGGTATAGCGAACTTTTTTTTTCGAAAAACGCATGCATACACTCTCTAATATATGAGCGCCTCTGGAAAAACTGAGTTGAACCGACAAATCTCAAGATGAACGAAGTTATCATAGATGCATCCCTATCGAAGGGCATGTCCCTACCACCAAAAATAATGTCATTAAATCCTGAAATAAATCTAGCAAGATACCAACACCCATGTTAACACAGGTGGACAGGTTTCACCATAAGAACCCAGTTTGGATTTATTCCATAATTTAACAATATTATTTTTTCAGTGGTAGGCGATATGCCCATCAACAACGAGCCGTGTATAGTAACTTCGTCAATATCGAGATTTGTCAATCTGACTCAATCATTTAGAGCATAGGGGTAGGGTGTGAGTGCATTCATAGAATGAGACGTGTCGGTGTTTCGAGTTGCCCACGACTAGTAAATTTCTAATATTGCGTGTCTGACTCGGATGGTGTGCTAAGAGGACATGAGGTTTATACTGGTTCAGGCAGAATGTCCCTACGTCCAGTTCGTTGCTGTTACTCGTGTTACTAACACTGAAAGTTTGTAGTAGAGGTTACAAACGGTCGAGAGAGTGACAGTTCCCAAGTCTATGGTGAGAGGAGCGAACGGGTGCCGAGAGCTCGGTCGCTTCCCGGCTGTATGCTTATGTGTTCTGATAGGTTCGGGGTTCGATGGGTTCTAGTCCGAATCGATGCGACGTGTTGCGATGCCCCTTATGGGACGCCCTGCTTTCCTTTTTATAGGCCAAGGGAAAGTACTGGTTACAGTGGAGGGAAAAGAGGAGAAGGAGAAGGAGAAGAAGTCCTCTAGGATCGCCGGCCCTGTCCGTCATTGGCGTCATGCGCAGGCGTCGTCTCCCGATCGTAGCGCTCCACTCTGTCCAAGCAGACGTCGTGGTGAACTGACGCGCCTGTCAATTCTCGTACAAGGATTAGGTAGAACGGCACAGGTACGCCTAACGCTGTTCCTGATGTGAGTCCCCATGTATGGCCTGTCACGGCCACAGGTTATATTGGGGCATGCCGGTCACCTCTCTGGTGTCAGAGCTTTGACTCAGACCCATTCGCTTGGATCTAGAGTGGTTGGCGGCGATATGGGTCTCCGTTGGGCGAGACGGATCCCTCGGCCTTAGGGTCGGGTGAGGCGGAGTCCCCCCAGAGGTCGGGCGAGGCGGAGCCCGCACCCAGAGGTCAGGCGAGGCGGAGCCAGCCCTCAGAGGTCGGGCGAGGCAGAGCCCGCGGCCACGGTGTCGGGCGAGGCGGAGCCCGCCCTCAGAGGTTGCGCGAGGCGGAGCCAGCCTTCAGAGGTCAGGCGAGGCAGAGCCCGCAGCCTTGGTGTTGGGCAACGCGGAGCCCGCCCTTAGAAGTCGGGCGAGGCGGACCCCGCGGCCTCGGTGTCGGGCGAGACGGAGCCCGCCCTCAGAGGTCAGGCGAGGCGGAGCGCAAACCCAAGGGTCGGGCGAGGTGTAGCTCGTCCTCAGACGCCGGGCGAGGCGAAGCCAGCCCTCAGAGGTCGGACGAGGCGGAGCCCGCGGCCTCGGTGTCGGGCGAGGCGGAGCCAGCCCTCAGAGGTCGAGCGAGGCGGAGCCCGTCCTCAGAGGCCGGGCGAGGAGGAGCCAGCCCTCAGAGGTCGGGCGAGGCGGAGCCCGCGGCCTCGGTGTCGGGCGAGGCGGAGCTTGCACACCTGGGGGTCGGTTGGAGCTGTAGTCGCGCTCTTGACTGCTCGGATGAATCAATGTTGATGGTTATTAGCTCCTACTCTTCGGGTACCCTAGTATTGGTCCCCGACAAGACGTGTATGAGAGTATCTGCACCGTACATGTATTGAGGTTTCCAAAAAAGAAAAAAATCACAAAACCGCAAAGGAAAAAGAAAAATGATTAAACCAAGCTTATCTTTTCTAAGTGCAATAAGACATATACAATTATATATATAAGAAATCAGACAATGGGACTCTGGTAATACTTGTCGGGCTGCTGGCAATAGGATAGGATTTTACTTTTGTTGCTTCCAATCCTTACCGCGGTGATAGGGAAAGAATAGTCCGCATGCAATAGCTGCTAGGAGGTGATGTGACAGGCCGTGGCGGCCGGACAAAGAACACAACAAGGATTCATGACGGTCTATTTCACGAGGGGACAAACAAGATATAGGCATAGGCATGCAGCCAAAAATGCCCAAGCATGGAGTATTACTACTGCCTCTGCTTTTCTCCGGTCCAAAGTTATGTTCAAGTTCTCTCGAGATCAGGAAGAGCCCTTGAACGAGACGAAGTCATCGTTCCCGTGTCAGATTCATGAATCCATGCTCTAAAGAAACCAGTAAAAATTGATGACTAGGTCTGCCGCAGCTGAAAACGACATTACGGTTTAATTACTGCTCAAGTATTCGATTACATTTAAGCTATATACCACTGTTATATTAACTATATAAATCAAATATATAATTTTAAAAAGACGAGATGACGAAACAATTTTACAGTCTTATAGATCAGTGCATGCATGGGCGTAAGGGGACTAATATATGTACCGAGCGATAAACTTTGTCAATGTCTAGAATTAGGTACTAGTTTAGTTCTATAATAAGAAACTGAGTCTTATCGGTCTAGTATGTTTTTACTCTTTTTACCTGTCATGATATGTTAAGCATTGCAATGATTGACATATACTCCATCCATTCTAAATTATAAGTCATTTTAGCTTTTTTGAGATACATATGATATGTATATAGACATATATATATATCTATATGCGTAGCTAAAGTCATATATCTATAAAAATGAAAACGATTTATAATTTAGAATGGAGGGAGTATATATGATCTTTTTTATATGGTTGGTGAGTTATGATAGAATATTATTTTTAAATTGGATTATAATTAGAAATAAGCTTCTTCAATCAAGTTAAAAATTGTTCATGTCAGGGAAAAGAGTTTATCTAAGCCCACACCATCCCCAGTAGCACATGCCCTCGAGTGATGCCTTGTGTTGTGTGTACTACATTTTTGTTTGTTCATGTGATTTTTCTTTGCAGTGTTTCCCTCCATTTTCTGTGACACGCAGCGGAAGCTCACATGCTGGCGGGCGTTAGCTGGCAGAGTTGGGCCCTATAAATACGCCCCGCTACGCACATTCTTTCACAAAGCCATTAGCAAGCTTACATACAGAGCCCTAGCAAGCAGCAGCTACGTTGCTAGCGCTCTCTCTCGCTCGCTCGTTCTTGGCCTCCGATCCTACGCCTACGCCGTCGTCGAAGCACTAGTGCTGCACATCCCGCTCGATCGCATCGCATCCCATCATCATCGAGCAAGCAAGCACCGTCATGGCGGCGCAGCAGCAGCAGGAGCAGGCACGGAGCACGAGGCAGGCCGTGCCGGCGCGGTCGAGGGTGGCGATCATCGGCGGCGGCATCAGCGGCCTCGCGGCGGCGAAGCAGCTGGCGGCGCACGACCCCGTGGTGTTCGAGGCGACGGCGTCCATCGGCGGGGTGTGGAAGCACTGCGTGTACCGGTCGACCCGGCTGCAGACGCCCCGCCCCGACTACGAGTTCTCCGACTACTCGTGGCGCAACCGCGACGACCCCACGTTCCCGACGCACGCCGAGATCATCGAGTACCTGGAGGGCTACGCAGACACCTTCGGCCTGTGGCGCTACATCATGCTCGGCGCCAAGGTGGTCGACATCAAGTTCCTCGGCGGCGGCGGCGGCGGGTTCACGGAGCTCTGGAGCGGCACCGCCGCGAGCCGCTCCAGGGCAAGCCCATGTGGGAGGTCGGCGTCGCCACCGCCGGCTCTGACACCGTTCAGGTACGCACACAATTCGCTTTGTTCACCGGCTTCTCCGTTCGATCTCTGTTGTTCTCGACTAACAATTCTGCGTGCACGGACTTTGTTACACAGTACTACCAGTTCGAGTTCGTGGTGATGTGCGCGGGCAAGTACGGCGACGTGCCGCGGATGCCGGTGTTCCCGCCGGGCAAGGGGCCGGAGGTGTTCCGGGGGCAGGTGATGCACTCCCTGGACTACTGCAAGCTCAGCGAGGAGGAGACGGTGGAGCTGATGAGGGGGAAGAAGGTGGTGGTCGTCGGGTACAAGAAGAGCGCCATCGATCTAGCGCTTGAATGCGCCCAGGCCAACCAAGGTATACATGCGTCGTAAATACGCTACTACTACAACGTACTGAACTGCACATCTATCGATCAGTAGTGTACTTGCACCGCAAAGTTCGTAATTTCAGCGAACAAACCCGCGTATTACATGCAAATTTGCTACAGAGGGATAATTATAATAATCGATTAAGAACTTGCTTTTGAATCAATCGTACAATTAGAGACTATGCATGCAGTAATCAACCACAAGTGGTAGTCACACAGCAACATGCACAGACGTCATATACAAAATCTAAAAAAAAACAAATTGATGAACGAGTAAGACCGTATGTCGGCTGTACTTGGGCGTGTCGCTCGTTGTGACAGCAACATGTGGATGTGGGCAGGCAGGGCAACGAATTGGGAGACCCAATCGTAGCTAGTCCCAGAAAAGGTCACTCTTGTCTTGATCCGTCGTACACTCCATCTAGACCGCAACACCTCTCCTCCTACTAGTACAGGTTCAAAGTACACTGAACGCAACACGTACGCACCTTTTGACTTTTCGCCTACCCGCTCGGATCTGCTTCATCATGATTAAGGCCGTGTTTACTTCGGCTGTTTCGGCGCCAATGAAATCACTGTGACGTTTTGTTTTTATTTGGTAACAATTATCCGATCGTTGACTAATTAGGCTCAAAACGTTCGTCTCGTAAATTACAACCAAATTGTGCAATTAGTTTTTTATTTTATCAACATTTAGTACTCTCATGCATATACTGCAAGTTTGATGTGACGGGGAATCTTCTTTTTGCATAGTGTCAAAGTTGGAAATTTGGTGGAACTAAACATGGCCTAAGTTAAATTTGTTACCTGACGTGAGCATGCTGCGTGCATTTCTAACAGTACTTTGACTGTGTGCAATCGCGGCTACTATATGATTTGGTTTGATTTGACTCTGCGTTGGTTTTGTGGTCGTTTAATTTGCACTGCCACCTTGTGCATGCATGCATGCAAATGCTGCAGGTGCGGAGGCAGGCGAGGCTTGCACCATGCTGGTGAGGACCCTTCACTGGGTGGTGCCGTCCTACTCCATCTGGGGCCTGCCCTTCTTCCTCTTCTACTCCACCCGCCTGGCGCAGTTCCTGTACGAGCGCCCCAACCAGGGCCTCCTCCGCTCCATGCTCTGCACACTCATGAAACCGCTGGTATGTACATGCATGCATGCATGCATGTGAACATCGATCAGAATTACTACTCATGAACATGTGTGCATGCTAGAGACACGACCGTACACGTACATACTATTAGCTCGTAGCTAGCAGCTTGTCACCATCATTAATTTGTTTTCTTTGTCGCACGAATAATATAATTAATTAATTGTGTGAGCTGCATTGCATGCATGCAGAGAGCGGGCGTGTCCAAGTTCATCGAGTCCTACCTGGCGTGGAAGCTCCCGCTGGACAAGTACGGCCTCCGCCCGGACCACCCCTTCGTGGAGGACTACGCCAGCTGCCAGATGGCCATCCTCCCCGACGGCTTCTTCGACATGGCGGACCGGGACATGATCCGCTTCAAGAGGGCCTCCGGCGGCTGGTGCTTCTCCCGCAACGGCGTCCTCCTCGACGACGGCACCGAGGTGGAGGCCGACCTCGTCTTCCTCGCCACCGGATTCGAGGGCAAGGACAAGGTCCGCGCCGTCCTGCCGGAACCCTTCCGCGGCCTCGCCGTCGACAGGTCCGGCATGATGCCGCTCTACCGGTACGTAGGGTTCATGCATGACTGATGCTGCTGCGCAGCAACCGTGAAACTAATTAAATGGCATTGCCTGATCTCGCATGCATCTCCTCATTGCAGCGGCACCATCCACCCTCTGATCCCGAACATGGCGTTCGTGGGATACGTGGAGAGCGTGTCCAACCTGCACACGTCGGAGCTGCGCTGCCGCTGGCTGGCGGGGCTGCTCGGCGGCCGGTTCGCGCTGCCCAGCGTGGAGGACATGGTGCGGCACGTCGACGGCGAGGCGGAGGCCATGCGCCGCACCACGCGCTTCTACCGCCGCCACTGCATCTCCACCTACAGCATCCACGACAGCGACGCCATGTGCGCTGACCTCGGCTCCAGGGTTCTCCGCAAGGGCAACTGGCTCGCCGAGCTCTTCGCGCCCTACAACAACCAGGACTACAAGGAAGACTGATCGAATTAATCCACCACTGCCACAAATTCATTCAACCCAACACTCTTTAATATTTGTGTGTGTGTGTGTGTGTGTGTGTGTGTGTGTGTGTGTGTGTGTGTGTGTGTGTGTGTGTGTGTGTACACGTGTGCGTAGCAAAATAATGATTCAAGATTCGTTATTGGTTTATATATATATAATAGTAGTATGTGAAGAAGTTAAGGACTACTATAGCTAAATAATGATCGGGAGAAGATTAATTAGTAGGTCATGATCATGTCATGTGAACCTAAGGAGAGTTTGGTAGAGGACCTGATGTTGACTTTGATGGTGGTCTCGCTCGTTCGTCTCGACCACGACCGCGACCGCCACCCGCGAGATGTCCGGCCGGGGAAATACCAGCAGCAGCCTGGACCATGTGGAGCAAGGTAGTTAGTGCTTCTTGTACACCAAAGGAGTTGACGACTGCAACTGAATTTCATTCATGTCATGTCCCTGTAATTCATTTTTTTTCTTGTAACGTATCAATAAATGGAGTATATGCGTATGTATGTACACGCAATAGATTATTCCTATTTGGCATGTGCCTGGCTCAAATGCTCTGATGTCTGTAGATTGGGATCATTGTCTTGCTCTCTCTGTTTTCAAGTACTATATATGTGCGTGTGAATCCTAATTAAGACCATGCCACAAGTCTGCGCATATGCATGGTTTATAAATTAAAATTTTATAATTATTGCCACTAAGGCTGTAAGCATCGGATGATGCCCAGGTCAGATCTAACTATTCCATTCTCTAAAATAATTAAAAATGTATCCGCACTGATATAAATGAAGCAAACTTGACAAACACTACTAATGTTGATAAATGATACTACCTCAACAAGAAAGGGGTGATTTTGATATTATTGCTGTTGTTGTTTTCCTTCTCACACCCACCCACCTATATTCATATCTTTCTATGTAGACCTTCACACATTGCATTTGAACATTTCTTATATTTGGAAATTAGTGAAACTCCCCCCCCCCCCACCCCACCATCCCCTCCGCCGACTTCCTAAAAAACCTTGGTTAGAATAATCACATTTAAATATACAGCTCAAGACCCAACGATGAGCGAACTTTTTAAATGGGCATGTAAAATGTGATCTTGACCAAAAAATTGTGCATGGAGGGAAAAAGGGGGAGAAATCAACATTATGGGTTCCTGTGACAAGCCAAACAACAATGTTCGGCCCTGTTCGCTTTGCTGAAAAGCCATGGCTGAAAGTACTGTTCGCTGATTTGTTGTGAGAGAAAAACACTGTTCGTTCGCTGAAATAGTATGGCTCATAAGACAAGCGAACAAGGTTCTCCATACACATCAAACAAATACATTGTTTCCCACAAGCTAACCAAAGTCAATGGCTCCAAAACACAAATGGTATCTAAAATATGATGAAGCCAAGTCAAAACGGTCAAAGTATTCTATACTAACGAGTAACGAAGTACAGTCCCGTTAGCAACGACACTACTATAGTACTTAACTAAGAGTTGACCTTCTTCGTGTATACGTTAAGTATAGAATACCGTTGATTACTATATATTTACATTATCGCATATAAGCAAATACTAGCTCTTCTAGTAGGCTAGTAGTAGCTAGCTAAACAGCTCTATATAGAATGTTGTAGTCGCCGTTTCAAGTAGGCATCAAGCATCATAGTGTAATAAAAAAAGTCGTAGCGTCACAAAATTAAAATTAAAGTCAGTTGCTTAGTTACATTAGTGCTAATTGACTAAGGATTATGGTAATTCTGGATTCTGGATTCTGGATTATGATAATCTAGATTATTTGGATTATTCCAAGATTGTAGAGGTAGATTATTGTTTGTTGAAGTACAAATAAATGACCTATAATCTGAAGAAAAAAAAACAGGTTTGAGACGGACTATATAGGATTATAATAATCCGGTGGTCTAACATATAATCTGGGGTATTTGGATCACATTTAGCTTATTTTATCTGACTACTATATTTTAGTTGGAATCTAAAACACCCCCCTTAGACTGATGTATTTTATTGGTAAGTTTGGATGAATGTACTAAGACAACTTGATAGATGGAGGCAGGTAAGCTAATTTAGTTTATTTGCAAGTTGCCATGGCCTTGCTCTTGCATGTTGGGTGTCAACTGTCAACGAGCTAGTCAAATCCGTGGGTTGCGCATAGCACAGTGCATGGTTTTGCGTTTTGACCATTCAACATCGTATAGGTATAAGATGATTGTGTTAGACAGTTGAGAGTCTCGGCTGACTCAAAAAAAGGTAAAGAATTCGCAAGCAAACGCGTCGGAATGCATCGAACAACCTTTGTTTGAAAAGTGATTTGGACATCCATCCACCACATGAACTAATCTATATACAGTGGTCCTGTTCGTTTTGCTGAAAAGTCATGGCTGAAAGTGTTGTTCGCTGATTTGTTATGAGAGAAAAATATTATTCGTTCGCTGAAATAGTACGGCTCATAGGACAAGCGAACATGACCCGTGTCTCTTCTAGATGCATGCATGGTACTGGCTAGGTCGTAATTAGACGACAAAAAAAAGGGGGCTCTCTACCCCTCCTGCTGCTTAAAAAAAAGACGACAAAATTGGAGTTTGTTTTGGAGCGATCGGTTACCGGACTCCCGGAAGCAATGCATCTAGATAGATGTATGTATAATTGTATATACATTTATCTACAACAGCTGGTCTTTATTTCTGCGTTCCGTATGCACTCCAAATAGCCTAAGCAATTGCAAAGGGGACTTCTGACCATGAAACGTCGCCAAATGCAAGCATTGCATGCATATCAACTATCGATGCTGAAAGTTGATGAGCTTGGAATTCAAAATATTTATGTTCACGCGTACATACAGTACAGACGTCAAGATTCAACAAGCGGATCGAAGAAGAAAGAACGTCGTTATTACTCTTAAATTTTTTGAAAATCAACCGAACTTGACGAGTATGCGCGGCCTTCGATCAAACCCTATTGACTAGACAATTATGCATCTGGAGAATGGACGAGCTTGCAGATTAAAGCCATGCACGAATAATACATCCGGTCGTCGTCTTTGGGTTTGATTTGATTTCGTCAGGCACGTCGTCCAACTTTGATTATATATACCTTTCCCTAGCTAATGTTAAAGTACGGATTTTTTTTCCTAGCGGGCTTCGTGAAAATTAACATAGAGACTCTATTAGGACCATCTGGTTAAAATTTTTAGGATATTTATTTCTTTTATAGCACGTGGTATGCTTTAATTAAAACCTAAGCTTATGTTATACTCCCTTCATATTGCTAATTCAAGTTGTTTTGACAGCGACACGGTTTCCGAAGCATAACTTTGATTTCTTATTTTTATAAAAATATTTATTAGAAAGTGATATATGTAAATCTTTATGAAAGTACTTTTCAAGACAAATCTATTCATATAGATCTTCACATTTTCAAACTCAACAACTTAAAGGTTATTCATAATTTATATTCTCAATATTTGATCTAAGCCTTGTCCAAAACGATTTGAATTACCGGTATGGAGGAAGTATAAGCTCATCATCCTTTTCTATGACATCATGAACCTATAGTTTTGCTTTCAACTTTTAATCTAGTTGTTGCAAGCTTTTGATTTATCTTTCACAATGGCAGAGGGGTGGGTAATACTTAGATGCAAAATAAGGGGTACTTTATGTATTTTTCAGAGGTGAGACTTTTTTTTTGTAAAATAGAAGTACAAAATAGGTCCAATGCAATTAATAATGATGATGATTAGAGTCTACCAAATTAAAGACCATTTTTTATTATTGCGAGGACTTCTAGAATTTATCTTTTTTTTAACGGGTGAGAATTAACATGAAAAGTTTGTTGGTGCCTCTAATTAGTAATAGTAAATTATGGAATGTAATTTCATAATTTATCTTTTTATGTGGCAGATATTATCACTCTTCTCCATAAACTTGATCAAAATTAAGATAACTAATACTCCCTCCATCCCAAATTGTAAGTCATTCCAAGAATCTTGGAGAGTCAAAGTTTTTCAAGTTTGATCAAATTTATATAACAAAATAATAATATTTATCATACCAAGTAAGTATCACTAGATTCTTCATTAGTTATATTTTCATATTATACCTATTTGATGTCATCAATCTTTGTGTTTCTCTCTATAATTTTAGTCAAACTTAAAAAAGTTTGACTCTCCAAGATTCTTGGAATGACTTACAATTTGGGATGGAGGGAGTATTAAATTGCCAAGTCACTACTGGAAACACCATTTTTCCTGTGTGCCAAAAAAGGATCAAGGCGGATAGGTTGACAAAGAAATAGAATTTACCCGGCAGCATATCCCGTCAATGATAGGTTGACAAAGAAATAGAATTTACCTGTGAGCCTCCCGACAGAAATATTTTCCTGACGGTATTTCTTTAACGGGTGCGTGACAAAAAAAATTAACGTCAGTAGGTCCAGTACGTTGTCAGCAACCGTCAGGTTAATTGATTTTCCTGCAGGCTTACTGTTAGGAATATTACTAATTTCTTTGTGGGTTTTAATAATTTTCTGTCAGTCAACTCTCAGGGAAATAAAAATAATTTTGTGGGACGGGAAGCTATTTTCTATCGGTTTTCCATCAATGAAATACTAAATTTCTGTCAGTTCAACCTAATTTTCCTGATGGTTTCCCCTCAAGGAAATCGTAATTTTTTTTTCTCAAATCACCACCAAAGAAATTAGTAGATGACGGGAAAATATCACAATTACATGTTATGTTCCAGATGCACCAAACAGCACATTATATGCATAGCACAATAATCAAGCATATATATTAGAAGTTCCATAAAAGCTTACAAAGCATTCAATACGGGCCAACATACCAAAGGTTCTGCCCTCACAAATTACATCTAAAATTCTACTACTAGCACCATATGTTGCTCCTAATTTATACATGTACAACAAATGTCACCTACCACGACATCCTAGTTTTAGCCAAGTCCATCTAACATTCAA